CCCCTGGAAAAATCCTGAATTACGGGCCTGGATGTTGCTTCATCTGCTATGAAGGCGTAGAATTTTGCAGATTTAACCTCATTCAGAATAGATTTTAGGACCATGGTTATATTGATCCCAATTCTTTCCAGCAATTGTTTTTGAAGCATTTATTTGAGAACTTATAACTAAGCTTTATAAACTAACGTTCAATTATTATTTATTTTTATTGCAAATCAGGGTGGACTTCTTGCCCCCACCCACAGGGGGGGGGGAAAGCTTTCTTAAGGTAGGGATGCCCCCCCCCCCAATTGCGCGCCTAAATAAAAATAATTAGAAATAGCAAACTAATAAAATTTTGTTTATCTTCCCCCTTCGGAGCGGTGTCGCCTTTAACATTACTTAAATTAAATATATAACGCTTATGATATTCTGTAAGAATTTAATCTGATCTAGTTAGTTTTGCTTCATTATTAATTTACGTAGAGTCTATGACTTACCTGTCCGTGAAAATATAACGCCAGGTAAGGAATGTGCGAAATACCGCTGAAGTTCTTTATCCCGCCTTTCTAACCAACCAAACAAGTGGAATTTGGTCAACATTATTGTTTATTTTGATAAAAATACGCGTTAATATACGCTTGGCAATTAAGCATAAATTAAGTTTTTAATCTCGGTTTGTATGCAGACAACATTAAATCACAGAGAATTAATTTTTTGTAATACAATCTTCTTTAATTTTACTGAACTGCAACCATACGCGCATTTAGGTTATTTTTAAAATGCTTTATATAAATGTTTTTTAACCTTGGATTCCAACCTTTTTTTGTTAATTTTCTAAGATATTTTGCTGTTTTCTGAGCTAACGTGTTTTATTCTAGTTATTTAGTTTTCTTGCAGAACTTTATTATACATTGAAGATGCCATGAGTTGCGTCATACATAAATATTATAAATGTTACCTTATACAGAAAACAATTCTGGACACGACCAATATTATTCGACAAAATTGACCATTTATTTTTATAATTCATAGGTAGGTTAGGATTAGCCAATATGTACTAGGCATTAATTTCATTCTTGATAAAACTTTGACTTGTATCTGGTTATCAGTGTTAAAACCTGCTGCCTTTTTTTTGCTTATTAAAGCATGATTAATTTTTTTGCATTTCTAGAAAAATGGTCTGTATCTGACCTCTAGCTAGGGGATGGGGCAGCCTCCGAATGAGTTTACCCTGGAGGCTGTTCGTCAGCTGATGTTAGCTCGTGGAGGCCGGGTGACCAACCATGAGCTTGTAAAGAGCTTTAAACGTTGGCTAACAGATCCTAGTCTGAAGGAGGAAGCAAGGATACAATTCAAGGTAACTAAGTAATTTAGTTTTTATGTTACCGCTGGCGGCAGGGGTGGATATTTTTCTCAATTACCCCTCCCTCCTGGGGGGGGGGATTTTTGATGATTTTGGGGGAAAAAAATTTAAATCTAAAGGCAACTTTTTTCCTTATTTTTATACTTTAACCCAAAAATTCATAGATTATCCTCGTAAAATCATTTATTTTCCCAAATTCAGCAAATATCACCAAAAAGAATGTTCGCGCATGCATGTCCATTTTTTGGGAAAAAGGTGAAAGAAAAATGATTTTTTCGAGAAAATTACACCCTTGGCGCTAAAACCAGGGGAGCTGTCAATTTAATACTAATGTTTCTTTTAAATAAAGAAGGGAAAATATGACTAATTTTCATAAATTTTGTTTAAAAATCGAAAGTTGGATTTTATTATTAACTGGCAAACCTCTCTGTAGTTGATATGGCAACCGGCCGTTATTTGCTCAAAAAACATTTATTTTTCATAAGGCCAGGGAACCCTTAAAAATTATATGCGCTTTACATTTCTAATAGCATGGAGAAGTGAATGGATCTTTTAAGAATTTAGGAGGCAATTATTGTTTTCTTGGAAACCTAATAGTGTTTTCTCTAACTTAAGATTCAAAGAATTGATCAAAAATAAATCCTACCCTTCTTCTTTTGTATTTACTTTTGTGTGTATTGTTTAAACTTTTTCATCTCTGTAAAGTGAAATACACTGTTGTATCTAGGACTATGTGAACACACTGGCAACCATCAAGCAGGAGCACGGAGAGAAGTATCTTGTTTTGAAGAAAAAGTTTTATCCTGAATATTATCAAAACTCTCCTAAACCTCATTTTCAAGAGTTTTATACAAACAATCCTGAAACTCTTTACAGTCCAGATTATGGAAGGGGAGGAGGAGGAGGGGAGTATGGAAGGGGGGCAGGAGAAGGTGTATCCCGACTGGAAGGATCGCCTAGTCTCCTTGATGAAGTTATGGCTGGATTTAACCCTCCATCCCGAACCCTAGCTCGGTCCCAGCCGTCCTCTCTAGATGCACAGTTAGCTTCTCAACCTACAGTTCCTAACTTTACCCTGGGAAATGGTCCACAGAGCTTAGGATCCTATCAGGGAAATACCAAATCAAACCCGTATACACAGGACAATAGAAGATTAGAAAAGGAAGGAGGAAGGATTAACCAATATATTCCGCAAACTCAGGATACTAGGTACGATAGACAGTCTTCACAAGATCTGAGATATGATAGACAATCTTCACAAGATCTGAGATATGATAGACAGTCTTCACAAGATGTGAGATATGATAGACAATCTTCACAAGATGTGAGATATGATAGACAATCTTCACAAGATGTGAGATATGATAGACAGTCTTCACAAGATCTGAGTTATGATAGACAATCTTCACAAGATCTGAGATATGATAGACAATCTTCACAAGATTTGATATATGATAGACAATCTTCACAAGATCTGAGATATGATGGACAATCTTCACAAGATCTGAAATATGATAGACCAGCATCACAAAATGTGCGTTATGATCGACAACACTCTCAAGATTTGCAAACCAGTCAGTTTATTTCTCCGCCTGTATTCCAGGATCCTGGAGAAGATGTTTACAATCCTGGAGCATTTTCTCCACATTTTGCTCCCAGTTCTCGACAATCTGTTTCAAGTTTTACTTCCCAGCAAAGCTCAGGTAGAATTTTCCAATTTGTTGTTCGATTTAAAAAAAAAAAAATTTTTTTTGCTGAATTTGAACTTTTCGAGAAGTCTCTTGATCATATTTTAGTACCTGTATCTGAATCCGTTTAACTTTTAAATCCCGGTCAACGAATTCTAGGAACTAAACCATGAAAATAATTTACAATTTGTTAAGGATCATACAACGGTTCTCCAAGATCTAGTTTTGCTAAATCAAGTTATGCCAGTGGTTCCTCCCGATCTAGTATAGCAGGGGGTGTAGGAACAACATCACCTAGATCTAGTTTAGCTCACACCGGACTTCTGTATCAGGATACACGACCAGGTGGACAGTATCCTGGTTTGCCCCCACCTGGTCAGCAGTATCCTGGTTTACCCACACCAGGGCCCCCGTATAACCAAGGATTTAACCCTGAGGGACGGAAAGGTCCACCCTCAGTATATTCCGGAGGTTCTCCAAGAGGAAGTATATCTCAACCCTCCCCTGCAGCCTATTTATCCCCTAGAGGAAGTATGTCTCAACCCCCGTCAGATTATATATCCCCACCTGATCAGTATTTAGACCGGAGACAACCTGATAAACGCCCGCCCCCTTATCGCCCTCCTCCAATAGATCCAGAACCCCCTAGCCTGGAACGCCGAGCTGTTCCTCCTGTCAACGGTTTGCCAGAGATGTACGAGCGACCTACCCGTCTTGATCTAGGATTACCGCCACCCCCGCCCCGACAAGACTTTGATTTAAACCCACCTCCCCTCCCTCGACGCCCTGTTCCTCAAAGCCGAGATATAATACCAGAAAACCTTGGCATTCCAGTCAAACCTAAATCCTTACTTGACTCCATGGCTTCTGCATCTTTGTCCAAGTCTTATGGAAACCTGACGGTCGATGAGAACAAGGAGAACATGAGGATGGAAGGATCCCAGAGCGTCGACAACCTAACTAAGGAGCAGGAGAAGATTAGTGTGCGGGAGAGAACTAAGACTTTTAACCGGATGGCCAGTGAGACGGAGATCTCCGGTATCTCTGGAAGCACGACCAGGCTGAGCTCGGTGAAGCGAAGGAACTCTAGAGCTGTGGATATTGGTTCTCGGAGAAGTTCGGCAGTATCAAGGGATGATGAATCCCATGACTCCGCTAGCATTACAACTCTAGATCCAACCATAAAATCCTGGATGGTTCAAGTCTCAAAAGGTAAAATTTATTTAATTGAAAAAAAATTATACTACGCCAATATTTTTACGCTGAAAGAGTCTTGGTACAAAAAAAGACTTTTTCTTGAAACAATTTTAGCTAGGGAATGTTGCTTTTTAATCCACCATTTTTGTTTTATCGCACTTTAATGAACACAAACGTTAGCGGGGTTTTCTGTTTAAATAGATGGACTTTCAAACATCGTCATTTTTTAAGGGAAGGCAAATTTTTTTTAATTTCTACCAGTCATAATCCTTCCTGGGGGTCATGTGAGTTGACCCAAATAATTTAATTCAAACAAACCAATAGACAAGCAAATTATTATTCGAAGGGCTTGAATTTTTATCTGGTGTCTTGTATATATTTATGTTCATCTGTACAGGAGATTACCAGACTGCTGCTAAGATGCTGATGGAGGAGCCAAAACTTGCCAGAAATAAGGAATCATCCATATTTTATCATTTTAAGTTCATCTCTGCTTATTTCAGCGAGTAGGTGTACAGAGTTACCCATAAAGAATAAGACTGTAAAATCTTGATACGTCTGATTAAACTAATCGGCCAAAAAAGACAAAATTTTACAGTTGCGGAGAATCTTAAATATGTGGAAGCCGATAGTATAAATTTCCTACAGTCGTCTCTGAAGTCTCATCCTTTCCTTATAAATTTATTTTCCCCATTTCCCTTAAAAAAGATATTTTTTAAAATTTGTTATTTTTTCATTTGTCCCTGGTTTATTCTGTTTTTCTATTCTGATCAACAATTTGGCACGAATCCCTGTTTATAAAACTAATATGAAACTAAATTTAAGTTTTATTAGTTTTCTATTTCCTTATTCTTTAATTATTAATTATTATTATATCGTATCTGTTTGGTTCCATTGCATAGTAGTAAACCTATCGTGTAATAATTCCCATTATTTCAGGGTTCAGGAGGAACAATTTTAATATTGTTCGCTTATTCTTACACTGTGGAAGTAGAATTTCCATTCTTTAACGCTCAGACCGTGTAAGAATGTAAATTCATACACGGTCTGAGCATGAACGAATGGAAATAATTACACTTGTTGAAGAATCATATTATATCATATCTTTTCGATTTCATGGTAGTAAACCTATCGTGTAAAACTTCCCATTATTACACGGTTGAGAAGACAAATTTTCCAATATAGTTAGCTTTCTAGCTTTTAAAAATGCTTGTTCTTACACGGGGAGTGTTGAATGTTTTTTTTTTTAACGCTCAGACCGTGTAAGAATGTAAATTATTACATGGTCAGAATTTACATTTCCTTGTTGACACTAACTTATTATTTTTGTTGCGTTTCTATCTGCGTGCAATTCATATCTTCTTTTTTTTGGGGATTCTAAGAAATTTGAAATCGGAACTAATGCATTTTTCGGTAATTTCCTAGAGAACGATTTTTGGACCCCCCCCCCCCTATCAATTTTGTACATGGGTCTGACAAGAAGTGTCTTAACTTAACCTAACCTGTGGCCGCAGCGCTCGGCCCCCTAGCCGCAGCGCTCGGCCCAGAAAGTGTCTTAACTAACCTAACCCGTGGCCGCAGCGCTCGGCCAAGAAAGTGTCTTTACCTAACCTAACCCTAAATGACAAAAAAATAAATAATAATAAATTTGCTGAAAAATAAATGGTCATGTACAAAATTGAAAATTAAAACTCATAGATCGGTTTCTGCTGCAGTCCGACAGATAAAGTGATTTTTTATTATTATTATTATTTTTTTAAGGTTAAGACTAATCACAAGCCTCAAAAAGCTTCTCTGTCGTTCGATGAGAGCGCGCAAAACAACGAGTTCTCTGTTTCTCATAAACTTACCATTTTATCTTCTCAAATTTAAATTTTTACCTGTGGAAGTGCATGCAAAAGTTCAGTCCCCTGAATTATTTGATTTTGTCTTCTCCATAATAAAATGTTGATGGTGGAACAGGATTTTACGAGCGGATATACTGGACTGCACTGGGCCTGTAAATATGGTAATCTGGATATGGTAAAACTTCTGGCTGGTACATATCATGCAAACGTTAACGCCAGGTAAATATGCCAAATCTATTTTGGTTTTTGCTTTGTTATGTTTTAATCTTTTTTAATTTGGGTTTGTTACTTTTTGTTTTGCGGTTGGAGATGTTTTTTATTAAAGTTCAGTTTAATTTTTGAATTTTTTTGTTGCTGTTTTGTTATTTTTTATTTCTGTTTTATTTCTATTTGGCATTTTTTTCTTATTGTTTTATAACTGTTTTTTTTTATTTCTGGTTTTTTCTGTTTTGTTTTATATCTGTTTTGTTATCGTTTTTTCTCTGTTGCGTTTTGCTTAGGTTTGTTTTGTCCCCCCCCCCCCTGTTTTTCCCATATTTTGTTATGATCTGATCTGATCTCGAATCGGATTTGATTAAATTGAAGGCTTGAAAATGGGTTTGTTTAGATCTCATGGAGGATATACCCCGCTCCATATTGCAGCTCAACACGGTCAACAGCAGGCCTTTGATCTTCTAGTTCAAGCATATAAAGCAGACGCTAACCTCAGGTAGAGTTATACGATTAGATTCATGTTTATAAGTATCATACAATAGATCTCACATATGTACATAGCAATAGCGCATGAAATTTATTTAACAGTTTATGACAGCTGGTTATGCTTTATCATTGTTCTGCGCGTGAAGAAAGCTGCTCAGATGTTCGCAGCTTTGAGAGTCATACTTTTTTGGTAATTCTTAAGAAACCATTTTTTTTTTATTATTTCAATGTAAATTAATAGCTCTGAAACATGCAGGACATTAATTGATATGGTTTACTCGTTTTTCCGCAGTATTTGAGAATATAGGTTGAGAATACGACATTTAAAAAAACTCTTGCTATGTATCCATATATCAGGGCATTTATAATATTTTTTTATCGCGTGTTTGTTATTTTATAAATATGTTGACATTGCCAATATATCTTCATTCCTCAGCAGTGTAATGAAAATATGCATTTTTCAGTCTTTCTCAACTTTTTACTTAAAAATACTTTAAGCGTAATTTTAAGTGACTCTGCATTCAAAGATGGCAATGTCCGATTCACAACAGAGTACCCTCGTTTTCTAGATTTATGAGCGTTTAATTATATTAATTCTTATCTATTTTCTGCCGTCTAATTCATATTTAAATAGACAAAGCTGTGCCGTTTAACATTGCAAATTTGGAATTGCCACCTTTGCATGAAGGTCACTAAAAATTACGCAGTCCACTTATTTATTTTAATATTTTTGTCTTTTCCAACTATTCCTTAATTTTGAATCTAAATATTCCAAAATGTGGTCTGCCTGTAATACCTTGTAAGTTGATGTAGATATTTTGTTGGAGTTTCACTTTATGATATAAATGCAATATATTTAATTTAAACCGCGTCTCTGAACCGCCAAAGCCGGCTCAAATATCGAAATGCTGAATACAAATTTAAGTGGAACCATCCATTTTTTAGCCGCGGCTCAAATTCTTTAACTTCGGCCTCCGATATGCCAGATTTGATCAGCCGAGAAGGCGCAGACGGCACTTGGTTACTTGGTTACTTGGAAGTTTATCCTCAGAGCTCCTGTAGGAACATAGGCGAGGATGTCTTTAGGATCATCACGGAGTATTGATCAGTCTGCCTGGTTGGGCTCCACAGTGCTCTCCATACTCAAATACTCCTTGCACAGTTTACAGTCTCCCAATGTCTATAGAGTCAAGCAGGGTCCGAAATAAATTTAAAGTTCTTGCCTCTTTAACTTCTACTGGAAGTTTATTTCAATTAGGAACAACACGATTTGAGAAAAAGTTTTGCCTGACATCTGATCTTGATCTTTTTGATATCAGATTGTCGTGGTATGATGTATGTCTAGTTAACCTGGTGCCATCGACTCCAACCTTACTGAACCAAGAGTTGTGGTCTTCTCTGTCTATTCCCTTCAAAATTTTGTACGTTTGAATCAGGTCTAGTTTGGTTCGTCTGTCCTTCAGTGACAGTAGACCTAGTTCGTCAAGCTTTTCCTCATAGGTCCTGCCGTTTTAACCAGTGATCAGGTTTACCGCCCTGCGCTGCACTTTTTCTATTATTTCACTATCCTGTCCAGTCCAGGGTGACCACGCCGGGACCGCAAACTCTAAGTGGCAGCGGACAAATTGAGTATATAACCGCAAAAAAGTAGATCTGTCTCGGTAAAGAAATGTCCTGGTTATTTGTCCTAGAACTGTAGATGCCCTCCTCGAAGCCTCTGCACATTGCAGAGAGGGTTTAAGGTCTTGGTTTACAACCACTCCTATGTTTCTTTCTTTGCTTACCGTCTGTAGTACCATCCCTGCCATTATGTATTCACACCGACATGCATAACCTTGCATTTTTTAACGTTAAATTCCATACACAAGTCCTCTGTCAAAATTAATAGATTGTCTATACAACGCTGAAGTGTTTCCCTGTCTTGGTCAGACTCTATCCTGTGTCCCAGTTTGGTGTCATCGGCAAACTTGTTTACAATTGTCAGTTGCTTTATACAATCATCTAGGTCGTTTATAAAAATGACAAAGGCTAGGGGTCCAAGAACCGACCCTTGGGCTGTCTAACGGGACGGGACAATCTTGCTTTATTGTTAAACTTTTTTACTATTAAAGATAGAAGATTTTCATGGCAATGGTATTTTCTCCTGATTTGGAAAAACTCATATATTTACATAAAAAAGTGTCAACAAAAAATTTTCATTTTCCACCGAATTATCGAAAAAGTGGGGTAATTTATAACACAGTTTATATAATTAAATATTTTCAGGGATTTTGCTGGGAAACGAGCTCGGCAATATATGATGCAATCTGATACAAGCACAATCTCTCTTAGTAACCATACCTTCAGGTAGAATACAATAATTTAATATAATATAGCTCTTCGCTCACATATATATATATATATGTCAGCGGTAGATGGCCAAACAGCTGGACCGAATGGGCTGACATTTTTTGAGGATACCCGAGGAGTAACATTGGCTAAAAACATTCGATTTTATTTCTTTAATATTTGATTTTTTCTTTATTTCACGGGCAACGCCGGACATTTCAGCTAGTTTAATATAAATCAGACAAAAATTTGACAACTTTGTCAAATTAATAAAAGACACATATTCGTACAGAGTTAAATTAATTATTGAGGACTAATTATATCTGAATAAAGGATTAAGTCATTAAACTGTAAACTTGTATTTTGCAATTGCATGAACATCTAACTATATATATCATGTAGACGGAAGAGGATTTTTTTAAGGGTTGTTTGTTATCTCCAAAAATCTTTCTATTTCCCCTAGTAAGTAGTTATGGACCGGTTTTAAGTTTTTCGGCAAAATATCCCTGATTTTAGTTTAAATCTCAAAATGTCTTAAAAGATGGTTTCTAATTTATTTGTCCCGTTAGACAGCTTAAGAATAGTTGGTCCTTTATTTATATAATTTAGTTGTACTGCTAAACAACTCAAGAATAGTTGGTCCTTTATTTATATGATTTAGTTGTCCTGCTAGACAACTCTAGAATAGTTGGTTCTTTATTTATATAATTTAGTTGTCCTGCTTGACAACTCAAGAATAGTTGGTCCTTTATTTATATAATTTAGTTGTCCTGCTTGACAACTTAAGAATAGTTGGTCCTTTATATAATTTAGTTGTCCTGCTAGACAGCTCAAGAATAGTTGGTCCTTTATTTATATAATTTAGTTGTCCTGCTTGACAACTCAAGAATGGTTGGTCCTTTATTTATATAATTTAGTTGTCCTGCTAGACAACTCTAGAATAGTTGGTCCTTTATTTATATAATTTAGTTGTCCTGCTAGACAACTCAAGAATAGTTGGTCCTTTATTTATATAATTTAGTTGTCCTGCTAGNGTTGCTTTGTGTGTTGTTTTGGTGGATGCTTTGGTGGTTGCTTCGTTCCTTGCTTGGTTTCTTGATTGCGTGGTTTTCTGTTTGCTTGATTTCTTATTTGCTTGGTTCCTTGGTTGCTTGTTTGATCGGGTGCTTGGTTGATTGGAGTGTTTTCTTGCTGGTTTGGTTGATGATTTTTTTTAGTGTTGGTTTGTTATGATTGTTTTAGCTGGCCAGTATGGAGTTTTATATTATTTGGGTAATACTTAGTTAAATCTCAGGAAATTTGATTATAATGTATTTAGGTGAAGAAAACAACAGAAGCGTTTAACAATTATTTCAACAACAACCCTGCAACAGCAACATCTGGGGGGACAACAGCAGATAAAAAGTGGGACCCAGAGGATCTGATAAAAATGCCTCCACCAAAATTTGTACCAATCAAAAAACGAAAATCTAAAAGAACAATAGATTTCAGCGCGAGCAGAAGCGCGCCGGTCACTCCAGTCGGCCGGTCACCAGCTAAGGACATAATACCTGAACTAGACGAGAAGGGGAGTGATAGTGACACAGAGTTTGGATTTGGTAGTAGATGGTCTAATGTTTAGGGTGGATTTGGTAGTAGGTGGTTTAATATATAGGTTGTATTTGGTAGAAGATGGTCTAATTTTTAGTTTGGATTTGGTAGTAGATGGTCTAATGTTTAGTTGGATTTGGTATTAGGTTTGTCTAATTTTTAGTTGAATTTGGTAGTAGATGGTCTAATTTTTAGTTGAATTTGGTAGTAGATTGTTTAATGTTTAGTTGAATTTGGTAGTAGATGGTCTAATGTTTAGGTTGGATTTGGTAGTAGGTGGTCTAATGTTTATCTTTACTTGCCAGTATTTTAATACTTTTAATAATTACATAAAAAATATGTTTTCAGGTCAAATTCTGTACTAATTTATATTAAGTAAAGGTTTTAAACGTCTAGAATGTCTTAACCAGTGGCAGTAGTTAAATTGCTCACAAATTATGGTATCGAACTTGGAATATAAATGAGAGGGTTTGCTGTTAGGAAAGTATCTGCTATTCCATTGTTAAATTTTGAATGGTTATTAGTGTACAATCAGTATTTAATTAACCCTGAAATATGCAGTAGTATTGGTAAGAAGGAACTGTTTACGAAAAATAAAGGGGTACAGGATAAACCATAACTTAAATATTGATCAGCTGTAAAGGACAATTCTCTAGAAATTATGTGTTAAGAAATTTTCGTAAACTTTTCCTTAAAGTAAAATTACATTCCAAAATCATTCTATGCATTTATTTCTGTTACTATAATGTAGATGCAATATATTTTATGAAGTATTTTTGTCAGTATTTTTGTTTTGTTTTCGAACCTAATTCAAACTTTTTTTTATAAACTTGATCTTTAATTACAAATTTTAAATTCAATAACCTTGTGTCACAAATATTAAAAAAAAATTCTGAAAGTTTTAATGTAGCAAATCAAAATATAATAAACTGTAATGTCACACTTTTAGACCGCATGTAGCTGTCTGCCCTGTGGATGGTTTCTGTAACTTGACTACAGGGTGTCTCAATAAACACACCATGACTAAGTAAATGGTTGAACTCGTCTTTTCTTAACTTTATTTGAAATATAATTTGACATCGGAAAAAAGTCTAAAAGACAAGTTGAATTGATTTCCCATGTTTATTGAGACATCTCGTATATAAATGCTTAATATAGTTTTAACATAGTTTTAAAAATTTGAAATTCAAGTTTTGTGCTATAAATAAGATTACTCTTTTGCAGTGCTATATTTACAATTATATTTAAGTTAACAACATTTTTTACGAATTTGGTTTTCTTAAAATGTTTTTTTTTTACTAGAAAATTTTATTTTAATATTATCTTTAGAATTGCTCAGAAGTAAATAAATTCTTTCCTTCATTTTGTTCCTTGGAAACTTTTATTTTAAAGAATAATCAAAAAAAGACCTTTTTGAATTTTTTTTGGTGGGGGGGGCCCCATCCACTTATTCCAACCAGATTATGTGATTAACTTGTATTTATTCCGTCGCAAGTAAAAGTAGTAACCTCACAATCAAACTATTCATGACAAAATTTATAATTTTATATTGATCCTTTTAATGATAATTGCACTTGGCTCACCCGAGATTTTTGATATTTTGTAAACTGTTGAGAAAGATGGTGAAATAGTTAGTATTTGAACAGTATATATATATATAGTTATAATTTATATATTTACACCTAGAAAATAAACTATTCTAACTTGTATAAATTGTTTTTGTTTTATTCATGTTTTCAGCGGCGAGAACTGAAGTAAATTCTAGTAACGGGCCTGCACAGTGGTACCAACAAATGATAAGACTTCTAATTAAAACCAGGAAATTTGAAAATTTCATTATATTAAGGTTAAGAAGTTTGAAGTGACTCGAGATCTTTTTAATACATTAAGGCGGGGAAATAAGTACAGAAAAAACTTTATTATAATCAATCAAACTCTTTTCAATCGTGTTTATTGTGCTCGTTTTGTTCCTTGATTTAATAAATACGATATTATCTAACTTTATCTTTGCACAATGTGTTTGCTACATTGACCATTCCAGGACTGGAAAAACCCCGTTTTTAAAAACCCAGCCCAGTGGGTTTGATTAGGTTTATTTTTGGGGGCTTTTTGGGGTTTTCAATTTAAAAGTAGTTGAAACCTACTAAAATTCATACTAATTCATAATAATAAGACTATTTTAGCAATAGGTGAACTTTATAGGTATGAAAAATAACAAGATTGTTGCGATAGTAGGCTATAATCATAAAACAATACTCTTCAAATACAGTAGTATCACCTCCCTTCTTTATAGGGGAAATACTGCACTTTATTGAAATTATAATTCTTCTATTTTCTCACTTAGATACATAATTCTGATTGGGGTGGGGCTACTCAGATTAATCGGTAGATGTTTATGGGAAGACTACTGTTAAATACTGAAAAACACTCGCACATAAGAATGATAAAGGGATTTTTATATCCTCATTCTATCACAACATTTTTTGAAAATCATGAGAAAGGAATAAATGTGTCAGTTTTAGTGCTGTAAACTCCCTAAAAATCAATATAGTTAAAAGTAGACCTTATTTTTTATAGAGTATCAAGATAAGAGCGAAAAGAGGGCAATACTTAGAGAAAAAAAAATTTAAAACACCAAAAAATCCCACTTACAGGTTGGTTTTTTAAAGTGGGTTTTATTGGATTTTTTCATGCCAACCCTGGACCATTATATCGGTCAGTTTATTTTGACCTAAATGTAGTTAGTTAGAGATATACTCTGAATTGGAATGGTTGTGGTAGAGAAACAGATTCAAAGAACTTTAAATGAGAGCTTAAGATTACTTAGAGAACACTTATGGAGTTTTGGCATTGTTACAAAAGTGGTGGCAGCGTTGGGATTTTTGAACCAGAGGTAGATGCCACTTACTTCGAAACTAAAGAAGAAAAGTAAATTGCTACAGTAGATAAAGTTTTAAGGTACCCTTGTTTACCTAGCGATGATTCTGATGCAGAACTGGATATGCATGATGCGGCTGGAAATCAAGGAGGAAGTACTCCACTCTCACAACTGGAGATCCTAATGCAAAAGATGAATCAGATGGAAATACAAGCTTGTGCTAGGGATGCAGAAACATTGGAACTGAGGAAGAAACTGCTAGCTATGGAACTAAAGGATCAGAAAACAAGGCATACACTCAGGGGTATATGTGATGTTGCATGGAGAGATTGCAGCTGGATGAGCTGACCTGAGAACATGAGCAGAGCTGAGCAAAACCAAGGATAGTTACGTGTTATTTACTTTAGTTTGACGTGATGTGTGGGATAATGATTTAGGATTAAATTGATCTGTTGATAAACAAAAGATCAAAATCAAGCATTTGTTCAAAACTTTTTTAAAAGATCATTAAAATATTATTTGTGTACTGTAACTGCAATTGTTTCTATTTCTGTAAATTTTCTCTCCGGAAACAATTTTAATCTCTTTAGTCTTCAGTGTTTTTTTACATTTCTCGTAGCATATATATATTAACTGTTACAAAGGTCGAATTTAATGATTAAAGCGATTTAACTGAACTATAGTATAAGGGTCAGTAACATTATGACTAAGTACGTTAATGCCTACTGCAAGTTCATGAATGCCTAGCCAACATTATGCCTATAACATTTCTGAATGCCTATGCTAACAATATGCCTAGATTTCTGAACGCCTATAGTTCATAATGCCTAAATTCGTGAATGTCTAGTTAATAATATATATGCATTCACGAACTAGGCATGATGACACTGAGCCGTTCTTGCTGTTCATTAATTCCTCATTACAGACAAGAGTTAACGATTAATCTAAATTTTTCTAAATTTGTCTGCAAAATATTCAGTTGAAGATTATTTTTCCGAATTCTTAAATAAGTTTAGAACAAATTTTTCATAAAAAATATTATGGACTAGATGATTAAATTCCCAAAAACTCTTTAAAAAGATTATTTTCAAGTAATACTTCCATAGCAAAGAACCTTTTAACTCACAACCGGTGTACATTTAAATATAAGAGCAAGGTCAACCTTTGCGGTCCTGGTTTGGACTGTCCCGCCTGGTCATACAGTCTGACTTCAGGCTACTTCTATTTGAATTAAAATGACATTCACCAAAGTGGCAGAGGAACGTGTTTTCTCTTCCTGTGTATTATCAGTGTACTCAGTACTACATGTGCAGGTGTAAATACAGTGTACTGTCTTTTTTGATTTTTTATTTGGTTACATAATAAGATAAGATAAGATAAGATAAGATAAGATAATAGAAATTAAAAACAATTGATCTTGTCCATAACTCTTCAATAACAGGAGTTATGCTTTTAAACCTCTACGTGAATTTAATTGTGAATGTCTAACATCCATCCACATAATTTTTCTAAATTACTCACTTCAAAATAGACAGAAGGAGAACGTCAAAGTTATGCAATATTAATGGTACGACTTTATGACCTCGTAACTACTCTGGTTTTGATTGTACACACGAGTATGAAAATAGCAAATTTATTCGGTTAAATATTAGAAATTCAAAACATTATTGTTCTTTATAGCATATGATGGAGTATCAAAAACAGCCTATGATGGAGTATCAAAACAGCCTATGATGGAGTATAAAAAACAACCTATGATGGAGTATAAAAAACAACC